GAAAAAACTAGTTATAAACTGGATCTAACCCTGTCTGAACATATCACCAGCCAGGGCACATGAGGTAACATGGAATCCATAAAAGAATACAAAACTTCACATGGAGTAACACCCCACAGGAGATAGTCACCAAAAATTGGAGAATCGAGTGGTCACTCCTTGAGAAAAAGTGTGTCAGAACTAGAATGTCGATCAGCAGTGAGGATAAAAGCATCTTGAACATGACACTCTAGGAGATGTGTGTCAAGAGTGTCTACCACAAAGGGAACAAGATTGGGTGTCCCCTTGGTGAGTGGTATAAGCCCCCACCATCAAATAACCGGAATGAAACATGATTAGTCAAATCTGTAGATGACGAAGATAGTGAACTAAAGCACATTGGACTGATAGAAGTGCCAGAGTGTTAAGATGATAGGACTTTTCAGCTGTAGACCATTGTCCTGAAGCTTGCTGCAGATTAAACCATGCCCTCCACCTTTGGAGATGAGCATCAAGAAAGAGAAACAATCCAGAAGAGAGGAGGAAGTGGTAAACCCAATATCTTTAGGGATATATTCAACCACCAATGCATATAGTTGAAGAGGGAAGGATGAAAGTTAAGAGAAAAATCCAAAGGAACCCTAACAAGAGACCATGTGTCATGCAGCATCTCCTGAAAATATTGCAAATGTGCTAGACCCAAATCACATCCCCCAATGCATTAGAAACACACTAACAGTAAGATAGTGAACTGTAATGGCTTGGATAATCGAGAACTCCATCAAATGCATTCAAGGAGGAGAATGGATGGTCCCGATGGAGGAGGTGTTTAAAGGAGACTATCATGTGATGTATGGAACAGAAAAACTTATCCAACTGGAAAATCCAACTACCCGAGCTGACTGTGGAAGGAGTAGATGAGTATGTTAAGACTACCCCCATTTTGAAGGAGCTAACCGAAGCTAGACATCCAATTAATGGTGTTGGAAAAATCCCCTAAAATATGGAAGTCAGGTAAAATGCAGACCACCTTACAAAAAGACATATGGAACCAAAATAAGTCTAAAGGGCAAGGCACAAAACAGGTACCAAATCACGTGGTGAAAACACCTAAGATAGCATCCCTGAGAAATGGAAAATAAGAATGTGTACCATGGACATTCTCAGTCCTGCAGAAATGCCAATGAAAATGTGATCAAAGACTACATATTAAGACAGGGAAGACCCAAGAAGTGATTGAGGCAGGACAGATCGATCCAGAACTCCAATCAGCATCAAGCATACATGATGAATGGAGAAACCCATAGGTAGAACAGGTAAAGGATGGGAAGGTGCCAGATATGTAAAAGGAACAAAGATGACAATGTCTCAGAATGAAATAAAAGATCAACTAAAAAAAATGTTTTATATAACATCGCAGATACCCCACGTCATGCTAAGTGTTCAGGAGTAGCCCCAAAAAACAGAACAGTGAAGAAAAAGAACTGACAGTAATGCAAGTCCCTATTAGCAGTGGATGGTAAACAAATGGTAGTGTCCCACCCTAGAAGATCCCAAAAGCAAAGAAGCCACATGCGGAGGGAAAGAACTGAAGATGGCAAATGCTCTAACATTAAGGGAAGGAGGAGGAGGTATCCCACAAAAATCCCTAAATATAAGTGGAATACCTAAGAAAGCAGGTGGAAGGTAAACATTACCTGTAGGTGAGTTGATAGCTAAAAACTAGGTAGGAGATAAAATGGATAGGATCAACAGAAATCTAAATGATATATAATCAAGAAGAAAGCCTGCCTGATGATAAGCTAAGGAAAAAAGAATCAAAGCTTGTGTAGGGCAAGGGTTGCAAGTACCACTCTCAAAAAGAGAGACAAAAATGATCATCCTGAAACAATGTCAGGAGAAAAAGGGGAATATACTATGAAATGTGTCTAAAAAGTAAAGAAAAGTGATAGGTCTAGTAGATTATGCAGTGGAGGCCTGGGAAAGCAATCCATGATCAGGTGGAAGAAAACTGACAAAATCTAGGTTGTCTAAAATGGGTTCAGCCATTGTAGGAGGAAGACTATCAATACCGGGAGCAGGTAGGATGGACCCTGGCCCCCAGGGGCCCTCACAAATGAAATTAATGGTAAGAAGCAAAAATTATTAATTAAATGAAATTAACAGTAAGAAGTTAGATTATAAAGAAGGATGAAAATGAAATAATCGATATATTGTAAATTTTAAGAAATGGTGTAGTGAAATAAACATGTATTAGATGTTGTGTTGAAGAAAACAAAATATTTAACCTAATTATCAATTAATCCATAAGTAGAACTACAGGTAAACCAAAAATAACAGACACTTGTTAAGACTAATTGAACAGTGTAGGACAAAGTATATCACTAAGCTATAAATCAAAACCTCTAACTTAACAATAACTATGTACAATACTGGGCTCAAGGCTTCCACACAAACCAAGTTAATATGAAGTATAAAAGATAAATAATAACGAAAATGAAATAAGACGTTAATTTGTAAAATTAAGTAAGTGTGTATTAACAATAACTTATGTATGAGACGTGATGTATGGAAGAAAAACAATATACTTAAACAAATGATTGATATGCCAATAAGATGAATTACAGGTAATCCTAAAATAACAAAAACCCAGGTTAAGCCAAAGCAAATGGTATATAACAAAGGGTACAACTAAGCCTAATTTTGAACCTGAACTTAACTACGAGTGTTGACCAATCTAATGAAACTTATGTTATGGAACCCAAATAACTAAAGATAATAATAGTAATAATAAAAAGTATTCAAAAATCAAAACAGTATAATGCCTTATCTTTCCAAAGATGGCAGACTATTTCATTCGAGTTTGGGGGCTTGATGAAAGTCAACTCATTGGACGATCAGTCTCCTGACAATGTAAATCTAATAATTTCCCCATGGAGTAGCATCACCTGAAGCACATGTAGATGTGGTGATAAAACATATAACCACTGAAGTGGTAACTTGTAATTCATAATTCTAAATGAATAATTAAACACAACTTTGTTGGCAGAAAAATATATAAAATAATTCCACTTCGGAATAACCAACTATCACTATTGTATAATAAATAGCAAACCTGAGGACTAGTATTCTACTTATGGCAGGAATTTCATCATCTGCCATATTAAGTATCAAATTCACAAGAACAAAGTAGAATTTGGAAAATGGAAACATTTCTTAAGCAAACAAGTAGAAACAATGGAAATCAACCAAGAAGTCAAACTTGAAGTTGAAACTGATATAAATTTGTGATCAAGCACAATCAAAATCTTGTAGTTACATGGAGAATGATTTAAAACACGTTGTTACACTAGAATGTCAATCGAGAAAGTAAGGATTGTGCTGCAATGGTAGAAGGAGCTACCTATGCTAGCATAGTATTGGTGAAGGGTTGTCATATGATCAGCACATGTTGCTTCAGTGGTTCAAAAATGAAGGGATATAAAAGACTGGTGTGCTGTTGAAAATTTTAGCAATGCTTAAAGGGCAAGTCAAGGTCATGATAGCTTTGGTTGAAAAGAGGTAGTACCATTTCAGAAATACCACTTGTACATGCAGATGTTATATGGCACTTTGCAGTTGACAACACATGCCACAAGTCATTAATTTAAATATCAATTTAATTTTAAACAAAGCAAATCAATGTTAAGCTGAAGAATAAATGCCCTGAAAATACTTCCAAAAAAGCACTGTTATTATTATGTGAATATAATGTACATAAACCATAAATACAAAATGGTTTGTACTTCTGTGAATTTGCAAGAAATATTTTTATTTCACTAACTATAGAATCAAAATACTCACAAAACTTTTCAATGTGGAGGATGATTACGAACAGAAATAAAAATGGAATGTAAGATTTTTAAGAATGTACAAAATATAAACTTGACAAAATCAGAATGTTTATCTTCTATAAAAAAATAGCATATTAAATAGGCTACATGTGTTTATCTAGACATATAAATAGATAAACAGGTGTAATTACAATGTACGCTATAAAATCTTTGTAAAACAATAAATGTTTCAAATATCATATTTTTCTTTGTTCCTTTAACCATACAATTTATTCTTTCTTTCACACAGAAGCCTAGATTGGGGGTGGGGGGTGGTGTTAACAATCATAATCATAAAAGCAAAGTGTCGGTCAGCCACACTTGATTTCTCCAAATTTAGCAAGTGAAAAGAGTCCAATTCCACTTTTCTCTTATAATACTTCCTCTTTTGATTGCCTAGTCCCATTTTAGTTGAATTCAATTGCTAACATAGGCATAAATAGCTTCTACATTTCGGCATTTTTTCTTCTATATTAAAGCCTATCAAGGAGGGAGTTCTCAGGACCAGATCAGGCACAGTGCTATGTGTGTGACATATCATTATCCACATCATTATGTCAAGCTAGGTAGGATCTGAATATGAAAGCTGGGAAAACTAACGTGATAGATAACATGCAAGTGCATTTGCTTTCTATTAACAACTGTGAAAAATAAGCAAAAACGAGCATAAATCTATGCTTGTGAATTGTTATGAAAAATACTTTGCTAAAACAAATTGAAGACACCAATTATATGTAGGAAAGAGGAGGACTACCTTGAAAGAACACCAGTTATATGTAGTGGGTTCAGGAGAAATATGTAGCATGTTCCTGGGAAAGGAAATTTTATATTTTTTCGTGCATTGCCAGTTTTATAGAGAATTGTTTTGGTTTCCAGTGGTTTCCTGTCACTTTTGACAGGCTTCTATGCTAGTATTACAATAAACACTACATATGTATTAATGTCCTAAATCTTTGGTAAAGTTTTGATATTACATTTTCTACTTTAACCCATTAGACAGTTCAGAATCTTAACAGTAGTAGTTCAATACCCAGCATGGGTACTGTTTACATGTAAAACAGAATGTATAATAAATTAGAACTTTTATTAGCAAATAAGATACAATTGAAATCTACTGACAGAATTTTATAAAAGGTCATATTCACTTACCCAGCTAAAAGATATTTTTAATAAGAGGTGAAGTGTTCAAAACAGAATCAATCTAAAATTCTTGGTTCTTCCCGCTTTTTTCGTCTCTCACATTTTGGACAGTGTTGCTTTTCTGTCATGCAAGTGCTGTGGTAAACAGCAAGGCACTGCTCACATCGATAGGTTACATCTGTTTCAAAAGGGTAGATGACATGTGGGTTGTTGCAAAGTTCACAGATGAAGCCCTTCTGACTACAGAGTGGACAGTGAAGAACATGGTTAAGAGCAAAATTAACAGCCTTATACAAGTGCTGAGAGAGGATTCCATTGTTAACTTGTTGTAGATCAGCTAATGAGTAAAGATGGACATGTTCATATAGGTATTCCCTTGGCCAAACCCGCTTTCTAAGTTCCTCAGCTACAGATTCCCGGCAAGTAAACAAATATGATCGCAAAAAACTCAGCTGTGTTCTTAATGTTTGAAGTGCAGCCAGTTCTTCTACAACAGAGTACAACAAAGGGTTCAATATGCGAACATCAAGAAGTGGCTCTTGTTCTACTCGATTAAGAAAGATTTTGGTCAATTTAGCCACTGGATATTTCTGAAAGTCCCAGTTCAATAAAACACGTGCTGGAATCACATGCTCTTCATTTTCATGACATTCATAACAGTAATTATGGCCATCATATGTGCACACATATGCTTTTCCATAAATCATTCCAATAGGACGACCACAGCCATGACACTGGTAACTTTGCGAGTCTAAACCCTGTTCAGGACAAATCTTGCCTAGTACAGACAACAGAAATTGGGTCCTTTGGTCATTGTGATCAGAGGTCAGGGCATACACTTTAGGAATCACTTCAAATTCCATGGCTTCCAAGGAAGATGGCTCACTAGAGCAGCTAGAGGCAGAAGACTGTAAAGTACAGAAAATGTCTAAATAATTTGCATTTAAGTTTCATAAACAAATCATGAACGCTGTTCTTAAAAATTACTTACTGATGCAGTATTTTTACTATAATCCTTGGCAGCTTTCAGAAAATTTACCTACATGTAACAACAGTGATAGCACTTTGATTATACACAGTCCTATTTCAAATTAATCTTTGTTTTGAAAAAAAAACTGCATTGTAAGTTTTATGCATGTTTTGTACAAGGTTCCATCTAACATCTGAATACTAAACTTGTTTCCAGATATTGACAATTGGAAAATGTTCAAAAGGAATAATGATGGGTAAGGCAAAACTACTAACTGTTGAATTGTTCCTTTCAAACCTCTCACAAAGCACTAACAACTGTACCTATGTTCAATTACCTGATAACCAACTAACAAATTCCTCAGCTAGTTACAAACAGCTAAATTTGACCCAAACTTTTTTTACTGTAAGTTTTTTGAAAAAGCTAAATCCTCTGATGATTAAAAAATAAAATTCTATAGATAGTTGTGAGAAGATCCATTTGAACTTTACCTCTGATGTTTTTGGGTGTTACATTTTGGATGTGAAGCTTTGAACTCTAAATGTGAATGCTTATGTCATCTAATCAGAAACACCGTATGTGTGAAAAAAATGTGAGGCCAAAAAAAAAAGGTTTGAATGTTGACTTACAGGAATGAAATCAGAATTGGTAGCTACACTTGTAGCAATGATAAGAATTTTACAGCATGTATTCATTCATTAGTTAGCTAGGCCACGTATTTTGTTTCATCCACCATCATACCCCAAGTTGAACAAAACATGTGGCCTGGCTAACTAATGAATGAATATTTGCTGTAAAATCCTTATCAATGTTATAAGTGTAGCTACCAGTTTGGCCACCAATTTTGATTTAATTCCTTTAAGTTACACACTCAGTCCTTTTTTGGCTGCATTTTTTTTTCACACCTAAGGTGTTTTTAATTAGATATCATAACTTTTTGTTAATACACACCAACAAACCACAGCAAGTAAGAAAGTGACACTTGATAGTAATCAACATTAGCTTTCGGATCACAATCCTATTATTTGGAACAGACCTATACTTTAGAGAACCAACCAGATTCCTTAAAATATATGGTGGTAGTTTTCCTCTCTAAAACAGTGTTAACAACTTTCCTTATAGTAATGTCATGGAACCTAGATTAATAGTTTTTTATCATCACAATGCTGTTATAAAACTAACCTAATATTTTGTGTTTTTCATTTTGGTGATCTAACTATTTGCATATTTTTACTGTTGATTATATCTTTCTGGCATTATTTTAACAAACCACATTAATAATATGACTTGCTATGTTTCTTGACCTTGTATTATTATTTTATTTTAACTTATTAGGCTTCAAACTTAGTTTTATTTTTTTTATTGCTTGGCAAATTATTCTGTAAGATCTTGTTGCTTACTAAATGTCTCACACCTGTAGAAGGCTTAGGTAATTGAGCTGAATGCTTGTGCATTAAGAAAACTAAAATAACATGGTGATAGTCCAAACTCTTGTGTTTCCTATCAAGAAAGATTACTACAACAAGAAATATTCTAATGTTACTGTCACTAAAATTTTTCATGGTAAATAGAGTAATATAGATAAGATAAAGACCTCTGATGTTTTTATGCTGTATTCTGAAGATAACAGGATGAGAGAATATAAGATTTAGAAAAGACAGGTAAGGCTTCTATTAAGACCATTTTTTTTTTCTAACAAGGTGATTAACTTATGATACAAGTTTACTGTTAGCATGCCATCACGTTACCAGAATTTGAGAGAGAAATGGATGATTTTCTAAAAGTAAAGGGTGGATTTGAATTCTTACTTTTCTCAAGTGTGGGTAAGCAAGGAACAAGCTTGAAAGGCAATGGTCCTTTGTTGTTCATGTTTTAGGTTATGCTATTTTCACCCTCTAACATAGCAATCCTTTCCAAGACACACTATTCGTATACCAGAGGAGTTTACAGGGACACAACATATACTGGTAAATCCCTTAACTATAGATAATCCACCTTAACAGCATAATGAGGGATGTCACATATTGCCTAGTCTCCAGAATGAGCAAGATCCTTAACGAAGTAGATACTAAGAGAAGTGAAAAAAACATCACTATGACTAACCTTGACAACAGATTCTCTAGACACTTAATAAACACCAATGATAAGAATATGCAGAAGAAGTAAAATAAATACAGCCTTTTTTCCCTATATCAAAAGTCTCTTAGACAACATTCAAGAGACTTACAAACAACATAAGGTCAGAAGAGCCTTCAGAAGTCGCAATGCAATATAATCCTGGTTAAGGCACATTAAACAGGTGTTTTTCTTTCAGAACTTTTTTCATGAGGAGTGAGATTTTAGTTGGTGACTGATGTGGTACAGAACATTTGAATGCCAAAAGCATAGTACATCTATAAACATGGTCTGGTTGTATTACCCAAGATTTCTTTACAAGTTTGTCTACAACATATAGTTTTAAGGGTATACAGCTTTTTAATACTAAAAATTATGATCTGCAAATAAAACCCTCAAATTTGCAAAAAATTATATATTAGGGAAGCTCTTTCATACCCTATAAAAAGAAAACTCCTTACCAAATCACTTAAACTCAGTAAGAGCAAGAACACTATATGATAACATCATATGTAAATACAAAAATAAAAGACCACCAACAATCAGAATTCAAAAGGGTAACATATATACATGTACAAGATTATGGCTTATCAACCTATCTGCAAACACCATGACAGAGAAAATCTCTTTCACATAATTATATGGAATGATATTAAAATAATCCAATATGAACCACACTCAAGAAAAAGAAATATAAAGTACCTTCTAAATCCAAATAACTGATAACACAGTTAGTCAACCTGTCCCAGTATAGAAGTCAACAAAACCTGAATATATCTACTCAAAACATTAGAATGGTTTAATGTAAAAATGTAATTAATAATTAAATATATGTGATAAGATAAACAAGTTTTTAATCTAGTCAGTGTCAAGTTTTAATATCTCAAATAAACTGAATATAAATTTAGCCACATAGAAAATTTAAACAAAATTAATGCTAAGATATTACAGCTTGAAAATAGTGGGTAATCCAAAATAATAGTTATTGCATTTCACTATCCACGATAAACAAATCAAACAGTTTTGATATTACACAAGAATACTATCATTTGGTACATACTTTTAAGCCTATTAAAAACAACCTACAATACATAATGAAAAACCACAATAACTTGAATAAGCTAAATTAATGTATTAACTACATCTTATAAATATGAATCCCATAAAACAATTTAATAATGCTAAGTAAAAGATACAAAATTTGATGTCCATCTGCAAAAGTTGAAGAATACTATATTTCAAACTTTTCCTCACATATTTAATCATTTTAAGAATTCATAACATCCACTTTGAAGCCTTTCTTCTAATTCTACAATGTTCTAGGACCTTTAGTGATTTACATGAGGTTAAGAGCCATACATATTTGTACTTGTTTAGTTATTAACTACAAAATAACCATTACTTCACTATATACATAATTACTTAGTCTTGTAATTCACTTCCTACCTCTAACTCTTTCTCTTTTTTAGATTTTGTATCCTCTGTTGTGTCTGGTGTAACCACTGAATTTATGAAGTCAGACATTTCTGGAGTTCCAATCAGTGTTCTGCTGCGGTGCTGATTATAGCTTTGCAAAAGTGAATCATAACTCTGGTTATCATCTACTTTAGTCTGATGTTCATCAAAGGAAGATGACCACCCTCGCTGCCTGGAAAGATTGTTTCCACTGGCTAAAGGAGATGATTCAAGCACAGTTTCTAGATCTGGTACAGAGCTTGGAGATGCTAATGTACTTGCATCTTCATCTACACCAGACCACTTCAGACTGAGGGAAACACTTTCCTCACCTACTTGCTCTATTTCATGTAAATTATCAGACTGATCTGCTGCTATGGTATCTGTTACTTGGGCAAAAGGAAGATGTTGAAGTTGACTGGATTTATTATCACAGCCAAATATAATCTCATTCTTTTTATCTACATATTTTGTTGACTTGTTACTATGTTTCTGCCCTTTTACTTCCTCATTCTGAAAAAAATCTTCTACATCTTCAGCAGGCATGACAGGCTCTGGGACCTCTGGAGGAATCCATAATCCTGCTAGAGCTAGTGGGGCACGAGTCCATGAGTTCAGCACTGTGGTGTCAAAAGATAACTCAAAACTAAATACATCCAAACCATCTAGGTATTGCTTCATTATTGCAGGCTCTTCGGGATCTCTTAAATATGCAGTGCTCCGATAATATGAATGAAGAGTTGTCTTGTCTTGTAAAATAGCTTCCACATAACTTGTTATCAGACCTTCATTCAGAGCCATTCTCAACCATGCTCGACAACGTCCTATATCAGTTGTTATTTGGCTTAATTGCTGGACTTGTTTGAGAACATCTTTGTGACTACATACCATGACAACAGGCCAAAAATCTACTTCAGGCATTTTGTCCACTGCTCCACTTAACACAGCAGAAACTTTATTGGCAAATTTATCTTTGATCCCATGTATAAATATAGCTTCCAGACAGGTGCAGGTGTAAGATAAACCCTCTCCATTATACACTGGTCCAGTTTTATCAATATTTTCTTTCTGGAGATGACGAATTGCTCGTCCAAGTTCAGCTGTCAAAGAGTTTTTTATAAACACTTCCTTTACCTCTTGCTCAATGGTAGGTGACAGAGCTTTCTTCAACAAGTTACTCATGCTTAAATAATTTACTACCAGCAGTTACAATATTAAATTCCGAAGGTTAAAATTTCAATTACATTAGAAGATGTATTATATTTCAAATTGAAGTTCAATAACACTACAGTTAGCGTTAAAATATACAGTAAAAGAAAATCCTAAAACTAAAAGATACGACTTTTATTTTTAATGTCTTCTTAAGTTAATCTTTTCTACTTTGTCACTGCCACTTTTTTTACCAAATCGCTCTCACTCTCAGGACGAAGTTTAACCTTCTCTACAATTTATTACTCTTAGTGTTACGTTTTTATCCATCAGAGGCAGAATATAACACTTAAAATTCATATTTAATTCTAATATATCCTGTACAAACCCCAAAATTCACTGAATTTCACAATCACTCTAATCTAAATCTCTGATGTCTCCAGGCGAACAAACACTAAACAATCATATCTCATCGTAGCATATCAATACCTCTCGAAAACATCAGTGAACCTTGTTTATATAACAACGTTTCCTGGTGTCCTAGCAAAAGTTTTATTCCAAAACAATTATTAAAATACATAATATATATATATATATATATATATGATTAATTTTGCTTAAAATAGTTTTTCATTCAGCCTACTGTTTAAAAATATATCTATCAAGAAAATTACGATTAATTTACTTAAAGCCATATTTTTCAAAAGCATAAACCTGTCGGATAGAGTTCATAAAAGTAATTGATGAAAATAATAAACCGTAGTGTTGATTATAATTATCAGTCTAAAATGAACTTTCATTTTATTTTCATTTTACCTTTCATATAATGGAATAGAAAGTTAGTGTTTGTAATTAAGCACAAATGGTCTACCTGTGCTCTGCCCACCACGGGTATCGAAACCCGGATTCTAGCGTTGTAAGTCCGCAGACATACCGCTGTGCTACTGGGGGGGGGGGGCAGAAGAGAAAAACGTGCTTACAGATAGATATACTCTCATTTAGTACCAGATATTCATCGTTTTATTGAAAATCGTACCAAATGTATTTGAGGTAATAACAGGTAAACAAACAGCGATTTATAAGTATAAGGAAACGTTTTATTGATGGTGGAACATCTACATGTTTCGACAAAACATTGGTCTACCTTCTTCAGGTATGATCAAGCTCGCTGAAAAAGTATGCTAAACCCAGTGATATTATTCCAAATAACTTGTGAAATTGTGCTAAAATTATGTTATTTTCCAACCATGTTTTTTGTTTCAGTGTGCTTATATGTTGAAAAAAAAACATTCAGTCTACAAGATTCGCATTTGATTTAAGCCAAGATATGTCTAAAAGTCAAATTCAGAACACACAAAAATATACAAACTCGAGTAAATTTTGGAGCCACAAGAGGAGAGTATCAAAATATAAAAACATAAGTCAAACTCAAATATTTTGTATCACAAGTGAATGAAAATATGGCCACATGTTAACAAGATTAAAGCAACACTTTGAGTGATATACGACTTCAAATAATCAACTGTAATGAAATCATCGTGTGATTGAAAACACAACTTATGATTGGTATATATGTCTTTATTCATTGTTTTCAACATATCAACAGATGACTCAAAATTTACACACTATCCTCTCAAGTTGACCCTTTCTGCACTCATTAACTCATCCATTAGAGAATGATTAGTGAGTTTGATGTGTTTCTCAAATTCTTTAAAAGTTTACTAAGGAAAATATGCGCTCACAGTCAGCAATTGATATAGGGACACTGAGCAAGGCCCTGGTAAATTTTGATAGGATGGGATACTCTCCATTCACATGAACTTGATATTAAAATGATTTAGTGTTAATATTTTGTGAAACATCAACACCATCACTCAGTAACAATGAATGCCAGTTATTGTCAGGCTGTTGCCGTTCCTCCTTTGGAATTATCGTGGAAAACTTTGAAGAAAATTCTGCATTAGACATTTGATCACCTTTGTCAGGTTTTGTAGAATTAAGAACGGAGCAGACAGTGTTAAATCATTAAGGAGTAAATACTATTGCAACATAAATTGAAGAAGGAGCTCAAACATACAATTAGTGTTGTGACTTTCTCTCTGACAAGCAGTACTTTCAAGGAGGTCAGAAAATTTGACTACTTTGTACTTACAGCAAATTTCAATAAATTATTCCAAATGTGGGAAAGATATTCCAGAATTATGCTAAAAACTTAGTAATGCTAAATATTATGCCAACTGGAAATACTATCACAGAATTATGCCAAAAGCATAATATTATGCTAGATCTGGTAACTCTGGATCAGTACTAAGCAATACAAGGTTTATATATCGTTACAAAGACAATAGGGATTAAATGTGACGTAAATAGTGTCAGCAGGTGACAGGATATAGGTAAAGGTCAAGTTCGATGACGAAGAACCTACTTTGAGACTAATAATGGCTGGAGAGACGGCTTTAATGGGTAATGAAGAAAACTTTAATATAAG